GTAAATGAGAGAGTGATAAAGGGCCAGGAGGGCTGACTGTGGAACATAGTACCGTATCTTCGATAGTATGCCTACAGTCTTGGAAATTTTCTTAGAAATTTGTTGTATATGTGTATGAAATTTGAGTCTATTATCAAGGTGGATTCCTAAGAATTTTCCCTCTGTTAGCTTTGTGATAGGTGATCTGTTTATCGTTATGTTAAGAGGTACATCTGTAGCTCTGTTACCAAACTGAATGAAGTAGGTTTTGTCAGTGTTTAGTGTAAGTTTGTTATCCTCATCCAGGTAGATATTTTCTGTAATTCGGTGTTTACAGTATTGGCTAGCGTGACGGGGCTCGGGTGAGAGAAGACGTATGTAGTGTCATCTGCAAAAAGTGTGGGTTTGAGTAATTGCGAAGCATTTGGTAGGTCATTTATGTATAGGAGAAAGAGAAGGGGGCCAAGGACACTTCCCTGTGGGACACCAACTGTAATTGGTTGAGTGGAAGAGCTTGCCCCATTTGCATACACATATGGCTTTTTGTTGCTGAGGTATGACTTGAGGTAGTTGAGGGAGTGCCCTCTAATACCATAGTGTGACAATTTTACGTGGAGCAAGTCATGGTCAACTGTATCAAAAGCTTTACGTAAGTCAATGAAGATCCCCAGTGGGACTTCTTTTTTCTCTATTGCAGTGTATATATGTTCTAGCATGTGTATAATAGCATCATTAGTATTTTTATTAGGCCTGAATCCAAATTGGCAGGGGTTGAGAATGTTTTGGGAGATGAGGTAGGAGTAGATTCATTTATGAATTAATTTTTTGAAGATTTTTGAGAGAGGGTGTAAATTGGATATTGGCCTATAGTTATTCAACTCTGTTTGGTCTCCTCCTTTATGGATCGGGGTGACCCTTGCTATTTTGAAGAGCTGTAGGGAAGGGGGGAGGATTCAATGGATTTGTTAAAGAGTGTTGCAATGATTGGTGATAGCACTTGTGACACTTTTTGTATATAAAGGGTGGTAAGGTATTTAAATCTCCTGCCTTTTTTTTAGTGCGTTGATAATAAGGGAGACTTCGTATGGGTTAGTCGGAGCTAGGAACAGTGTGTTCGGGTAGTTGCCAGTGAGGTAGTCATTTGGTGGGGTATCTGAGCTTGGGATTTTTTTGGCAAGGTTTTGTCCTATAGTGGAGAAGAAATCATTGAGTCTGTTTGCTGTTTCTGTTGGTGGGAGTTGGGGTCATCTGATTTTGCTAATTTTATTTCGCTATTTCATGATATCTTTTTGTTCCCAGAATTTATCTGATAGGGTCTTCCAGGTCTTTTTTATATCACCTCGTAAGTTGGATAATCTGTTCTCATAATACAGTTTTTTTGCCCTTCTTATCAGGCTGGTTAGGATTGACGAGTAACGTTTTGTTTGGTCTCTGGTTATGTGACCCATTCTGTACTGTTTTTCATATCGGTGTTTTGTATTTATGGATTTGAGAATGCTGGGTGTTAGCCAGGGACTGTTCAGTCTCTTAGCTGTCGTCTGTTTAGTTTTTTTAGGGCAGTGCTTGTTATAGAGGTATTGAGTCTTTTTTAGAAAATTATTAAAACATTCGTCAATATCTCTATAGATTTCTAGCTCAGTGTGCCAGTCAATGTTTGTTACTGCTGTTGTGAAGTTATTAATGGCTGCCTCATTGTGAAGTCTGAAGGTGACTTTAGTAGTGTCTTGCGGTATTTTACCAAGAGTTGTTATGAGGAAAGTAGGGTAGTGGTCTGTGGTATTATCTGTAATTATGCCTGATTTTAAAGGGGATATGGTGTTGGTCCAGATGTGGTCAAGTAGGGAAACACTAGTCTCCGTAACTCTTGTAGGTTTTGTTACTGTTGGTAGCAACATGCAGTTACTCATTATGTTTGTGAATTCAGTAACGTGAGGGTCCTGGTCTTGCAGGAGATTTATATTGAAGTCACCTGAGAGTAGTAAGTGATCTTTGTTCATGCGTGCATCAGTTATCATACTTCCTAGGTTTTGACTAAATTGGCTAATGTTTGATTGTGGAACTCTGTAGATGTTTATCACTGTGAGAGGTTTTTGTAGGTATTTGGATTTGAATTTAGCTATTATATATTCCCCATGTTCATCCCTTGTGCAAGTATTAGTGATACATTCTAGTTGGTCTGAGTAGTATATAGCTGTGCCACCCCCTTGTTGGTCTGGCCTACAGTTGTGTATGGCTGTGTAACCAGGAATGGCATAGACATCTGTAGTTTCAGGTTTCAGTTAGTGTAATGATGGACATATTGGCATGCAAGGAATTTAGTAATGCTAGGAGGTCATCGTAATGCTTGCTTAAAGATCTGATATTGTAGTTAAAGATAGTTATGTTGTTGTTGGTTCTGAGAAGTGCCTTTGATTGTTCTGCTGTGTAGTAGTTACAGTAACTGTTTGAATCATTTAAGTCATTAAATAAGAGGTTGGTATCAGGATCAATGCTTGTAATCATAAGATTTGTAGTGAATCTATAGTTAGAATTAAGTATAAAACAAAGTAAATAAATTTTAAAGCTAAAAAAATAGCACCTGAATTATTTAACAAATGTAAAAATAATGAGCTAAGGTAGTTTTTTTAAAAGCTAAAATAAAGGAGACAATATAAAAGGGACTAAAATAATTTGTGGTGAACAAATAAAGTGATGATCAAATAATGGAGCTTGGGAAATGATAGTAGGTAGTACTTTAAAGGTAATTCTTTAAAGTTAGAAATTATAATATAAAATTATAATATAAAAGGGACTAATATAAGTTGTGGTGAACAATAAAGTGTAATCAAATAATTGCACTAAGGTCTAATATAATGACTTTTGTGGAGTCTAAAGTTTTGAGCTAGAATGAGCTATAGTACAACTAGATTTAATCTAATAATATAACAATACAAATTAAAAATAGCACCAGTCTCTCACTAGTAATTGCAATATGGTCTAATATAATGAATTGGTATTGACTATAGTACAACTGAGTTTAATCTAATAATATAAAAAAGGCACAAGACTCTCAATTGTAATTGCACTAATGTGTTATATAAGTTGTTTACAAGAATTAGAGTATAACTAGATTTAAATTGACAAGATAAAATATACAAGTTAAGGTAGCAAAAGAATAAAAAAAAGTAGAAAAAAAAATATATGAGGTAGTTGGTACTAGTTAGCAAAAGATAGTTAAGGGCCTTGAACAATAATATAATTGAAATATACACTAATTGCACACACAATATAGTCACTAAGATATGAAAACAATCTTAGAGTAGGAATTATAATATAAACGTATAATATAAAAATACAAATTGAAATGGTACTTGCAATTGCACTAGAGTCTGGTATAGGTTGTTGACAAGATCAGGAGTATAACTAGATTTAAATTGACAAAATATAATTCACAATTAAAGTACCAAAAGAATAATAGTAAAAAAAACAATGGTAATGTCTTGGTTATAATACGATAGTAAGATGGTGGACAGGTTCACAGGTACAAAGGATAATATAAAGGTTGGAGTTGAATATGCAAACTTGAAAATTATGATAAAATAATACACCAACCACTTCAAAACTGTATCTTCACCTACTTTTAGCACCTTAGGCTTAACATCTTTTGGAGCTGCTTTCTCCCCATTCATCTTACCCACAGCCTGATACACTTCGTCTCCTTTCTCCTCTGGGCTCTTCCTTTTTTTTTTTTTTTTTTTTTAGAATGTTGGCTGTTTCCCACCGAGGCAGGGTGACCCAAAAAGAAAGAAAGAAAAAAAAAGTCCGAAAAGAAAGATGAGGATGGCCCCTACCCCACCTTCCTTCCTCTACAGATTTATACGCTCTCCAAGTCATTCTACTTTATTCTATTCTCTCTAAATGACCAAACATCCTCAGCAACCCCTCTTCAGCCCTCTGGCTAATACTTTTAGTAATGCCACACCTCCTCCTAATTTCCACACTACGAATTCTCTGTATAATATTTACACCACACATTGCCCTTAGACATGACATCTCCACTGCTTCCAGCCTCCTCCTCACTGCAGCATTTACAGCCCATGCTTCACACTCACATAAGACTGTTGATGCCTCTGTACTCTCGTACATTACCTTCTTTGCCTCTATGGATAATGTTTTTTGTCTCCACAGATACCTCAACACACCACTCACCTTTTTTTCCTTCATCTATTCTGTTGTTTACCTCATCCTTCATAAGCCCATCCACTGACAAGTCAACTCCCAAATATCTGAAGATTTAACTTCTTCCATACTCCCTCCCTCCAATGTGATATCGAATTTTTCTTGATCCAAATCATTTGATACCCTCATCCCCTTACTTTTATCTATTTTCATTTTGGACTTTCTACCTTTACACACCATCCTATACTCGTCCACTAACTTTTGCAACTTTTCTTTAGAATCTCCCAAAAGCAGAGAATTTATTTCTCCTTGCATCCCTGGTGGCTATAGCTTTAGCAAATTTTGGATTGTGTGATGACTTTAATTAATGACTAGTTTGGCAGTGATTTTGTATAGGCTGTTATTCTTTCACAGTGAGGATCACTACATAAACAAGGCATAAACAAGGGAGATATTAATAAAGTACTGAGGGTGTCGAACCAGGTAAGAACCAGGAATAATGGATTTAAGTTGGATAAATTTAGATTTAGAAAGGACATAGGTAAGTACTGGTTTTCTAACAGAGTTGTAGATGCGTGGAACAGTCTTCCCAGTGGGGTGATAGAGGCTAGGACGTTGGGTAGCTTTAAGAAGAGACTGGACAAATATATGAGTGGGAGGGGCTGGGTTTGATTGGTGTCATGGGGTACGGGAGTTATTTCTAGGAAGCTTTAGGTAGTAGTCGTTTTGATAAGGACCTGCCTCGCATGGGCCAGTAGGCCTTCTGCAGTGTTCCTCCATTCTTATGTTCTTATGTTCTTATAAGATACTAGCAAATATGATAAGTATTACTGTACATGGTGTTAATTAATGTTATTCTGTAGGATTCTGACCAGGCTGTGGACATGAGTGAAGGTAGCAGAGACAGCTCTCCAAACATTCATCAACATCATCAGCTTCACCACCACAGTGCCACAGCAGTTAAAGCATCAACATTAAGCAATTTAGTCAGCTGCAAGAGTGTCGGGAAACATCAAACGTTGCCTGGCAGCAATATATCACAACGCATCCCTAGCGCAGGGACAGAGGTCCGCACTCCATCACACTTGTCAGACCATCTAACACAAGCAAACAGTCTCATAGTCAAGCACGTAATGAGTACTCTGCAACACAAACTTGGCACCCACACCAGCAACAAGGTGGAGGATCCCCTGTGCAACACAACACCAGCCCTGTCAAGCCTTGGCCAAAGCACAGGAGATACTCTCAGTCATCTCAAGGTTTGCTCTTTCTCTGTTTCCTAATACGTTTACTGTTTTGAACATTATGCATGGAATATGCAACAATGAGAAGTGATGTGACTATATTGCTTTAGGTGCAGTATATTGAAGAAGAAAATGTGTGTGTGTTTCTTGAGCTTTTAAAAGTATTATGGCTGATACCCTTGCAAACAACTAAAATTAAGTTTCTAGTGAAAAGAAAAGGAAAGTATTTTAAAAAATGGAGAAGTATTGTACACTGTTGAGAACCTTAAGTACTTGGGATGTATGGTTAATAAGAAGTGTTTGTGGAAGTTAAAAGCATATAATTACTAAGGGAGATGGCTGGTACTGTATAATGAAAATTCTAGTTGGAAAGAACAAGAAGTAGGTGGGGGTTTTTTAGGGCTGCATACTGACATTTTGTTTAAACCTAATGCAAAGATGTGATTCACTGCGGGACAGGTTTTTTTTAGCCTGCTATTTTGTGTGCATTTTTAAATTACATACTGCATAATTATTATGGGTTTTTTTAAAAATAGATATTTTTTTTGCTAAAGGCGTTTTTAAAACCCGTTTCATTTACTGCTAAAGGGTTTATTTTTATACCCGTACAAGTCAACTATTTTTTTTTGATTAAAAATTTGGTTTTCAACCTCTACATCCATAACTTTTACACATGTGGTCTGCCCGTTTCCCTTTTTTCTGCAAAAAAAACCAAGCCTTAATAAGGCATTTTTGAGTTGCACTTTGGGCAAATGGAACATTGTGTATTTCAACCCTTTAGTACGGACCCCTAAATCTCAATTTGGTTCATGCAAAGGATTTCAAACCCTGGTAGAAACTCATCCATTTAGCCACCCTCTTTTTCTGATTTTTGCCGTAGACATGGACTCAGTTTTGAAATCCCTTCCATCACCATACCCAAAACTTTATTTGAAGCAGTAATTGGCATTGTATACAGGTTTTGCCTCACAATCCGGTAATCAATTACCGGTTCCATCGGTAACCGGCACAAAATTTTGGGTAGCATAATTTAAAAATTTATCTTATACTGATCAAATTTCATCATTAACTGACTCAGAAATTATCAGATGGTTGTAAATCCAGAGCGCAAGCCATGGGGGGAGAAAACAGCGTGAAAATGGGAAGAGTAGCATCCTATTGAAAGGTAATTAAGGTATTCAACCTAACCACTCCGTAATCCTGCAAACTCACTAATCTGGCACACTACAGATCCCAATGATGCCGGATTAGTGATGGCCGACCTGTACTTCAACATTGTAGTACTTCATGGTACCTTCAATATTATGCAAACTACTTGTTCCATGATTTTCTGAGGAAATTTGACCATTTTCTTCAGATATTCAGGCAGCACACATTCATCCAGCACTGCCATGGTTGATTGATCAGAGAACACCACTTCAACAATAGAAAAAACAATAGAAGCTGAATGGTAATTTTAAATTTGTTTCAAATAGAATTATCATTTTACTAATAATTAATGTTCTTTTATGAACAACAAACGAATTGAATAGCTAAATGTAATTATTACCTATTTCCATTGTTCAGAAGTCCACTCATGGGTTCAGAAAGTCGTGGCTTTTTCTGGGATGATGTGCTTTCACTCCATTCTCCAAAAGCCTCTCATTAACTGTCCTTCAGGCAAGGCTAACACCTGCTGCTGCTAGGTCAAAGGAAATCTGCCTGCAAGATTTTCTTTTGCTGTTAAGAGCCATTCGTATTATTTTTCTGTCTAGTCTTGGTGTTGTTTTCCATTTTCTACCACATATTCCCACTCTTTATGAGTTTAAAATCTCGATCGTAATTCAGTTTCTTCTCAGTTTTACTGACTGTGTAGAAACACTAAGTTTTATTGCTATTTCTTTCTGTTTCATTGTGCAATCACTCAATAAAACACTAATCGGTCCCACTTTGCGAGGACTCAGATTACCATTTTAACCCATTTCTGCTAACTTTCTTTCTAACTGTTAAACTGCAAGAAAAAACAAAAGGCACTTTTAGTAGCAAGCACGGGCACAGGAAATGCACGCTAATGGAATTATTACGTTCAGTAAGAAGCAGAAAACAATTTTTGCACTCCAAACCATTACAACAAGGAATTATGCAAAACTTTGATCACTGGCATGATGTCCACACATGTTAAAGCACTTATCGATGCTAGGGGTAGTCAAACCAAATATTAATCAATGTAAAATAGTTGACCTGTACTGACGTTTAAAAATAAATTTATTAGCAGTCAGTGAATTGGTTTAATTGACCTTTTAATAGAAAAATATCGAATTCTCATAAATAATAATTCCGTCAGTACTGTGTGTGTATGTGTGCATGTGTTTTTTCAACGAATTGGCTGCATCCCACTGAGGCAGGGTGGCCCAAAAATGAAAGAAACACTTTGATCATCATTCACACATAATCACTGTCTTTGCAGAGGCACTCAGATATGACAGTTCAGTTGTCATTCCAAACAGCCAGTATCTCAAACCCCTCCTTTAAAGTTGCAGGCATTGTAATGCCCACCTCCAGGATTCAAGTCCAGCTAACTGGTTTCCCTAAATCCTTTCACAAAATATTACCCTCTTCACACTCCAACAGCTCTATCAAGTCCCCAAAATGATTTGTCTCCATTCACTCCTATCTAACACGCTGGATGTCCAGACCCCTTGCACACAATAATCTTTATCCCCTCCCTCCATCCTTTCCTTGGATAACCCCTACTCCTCCTTCCCTCCATTACAGATTTATACACCCTCCAAGTCGTCATATTTTGCTCCAGCCTCTCTAAATGACCAAATCTCCTCAACATCCTCTCTTCAGCCCTCTGGATAATACTTTTAGTAACTCTGCATCTCCTCCTAATCTCAAAACTGCAAATTCTCTGCATATATATGTCACACATTGCCCTCAGACACATCTCCACTGCCTCTAATCTCTTCCTCGCTGCAACATTTACAACCCATGCTTCACACTCGTGTAAGAGTGTTGGATCCACTATTTTCTCATACATATTTCTTTGCCTCCATAGATAATGTTCTTTGTCTCCATAGATGCCTCACCACACCACCTATTTTCTTTCTTTCATCAATGCTGTAGTTTACCTCATCTTTCATATATGTACTCATCTATTGACAGGTCCACTCCGAAATCCCTGAACACATTCACTTGCTCTGTCCTCACTCCAATCTGATATCAAGTCACTCATTACCTAACTCTTTTCTTACCCTCATCACCCTACTCTTTCCTCGGTTTACTTTCAAATTCCATTACACACCCTCCCAAATTTGTCTGCTAACCTTGGCAATATTTCTTCAGAATCTTTCAAAAAAGTGTCATCAGCAAAAAGTAACTAAGACAATTCCCATTTTGTATCAGATTTTTACAAATTTTAATCCCACACCTCTTTCCTACACCCTAGCAATCACTTCTTTTACAACCCCATATATAAATACGTTACACCATGGTGACATCACGCATCCCTGTCTAAGGCCTGAACCTCACTGTCCTCTTAAAAACTTTTACAGAATTTAATTTATTCTGCCACCTATTCCATACACTTCCAACATCTGCCACATTATTCTTCTATCCACCCTAATATTTTTTTTTTCAACAAGTCGGCTGTCTCCCACCGAGGCAGGGTGCAGAGGCACCCAGATACAACAGTGCAGGCATTGTACTTCCCATTGCCAGTACTCAAGTCCGGCTATATAAAAATAACCGGTTTCCCTGAATCCCTTCACTAAATATTACATTGCTCACACTCCAACAGCTCGTCAGGTCCCAAAAACTACTCGTCTCCATTCACTCTTATCTAACACGGTCATGCATGCTTGCTGGAAGTCCAAGCCCCTTTACCCCCTCCCTACAACCTTTTCAAGGATGACCCCTACCCCTGCTTTCCTTCTGCTACAGATTTATATGCTCACCAAGTCATTCTACTTTGTTCCATTCTCTCCAAGTGACCAAATCACCTCAACAGCCCCTCTTCAGCCCCCTGATTAATACTTTTAGTAACTCCACACCTTTCTTAATTTCCACACACTGAATTTTCTGCATAATATTTACACCACACATTGCCCTTAGACAGGACATCTCCACTGCCTCCACCCGCCTCCTCGACTGCAGCATTTACAACCCAAGCTTCTCACCCATATAAGAGAGTTGGTACCACTATACTTTCATACATTCTCTTCTTTGCCTCCATAGATAATGTTTTTGTCTCCACATATTCCTCAACACACCACTCACCTTTTTTCCTTAATCAATTCTATGGTTAACCTCACTCTTCATAAACCCATCCACTGACATGTCAGCTCCCAAATATCTGAAAACTTTCACTTCTTGCATATTCCCTCTCTCCAATGTGATATCCAATTTTTCTTTATCTAAATCATTTGATACCTTCATCACCTTACTCTTATCTATGTTCACTTTCAACTTTCTACCTTTACACACCCTCCCAAACTCGTCCACTAACCTTTGCAACTTTTCTTTAGAATCTCCCATAAGCACAGTATCATCAGTAAAAAGTAACTGTGTCAACTCCCATTTTGTATTTGATTCCCCCATAATTTAATCCCACCCCTCTCCCCAACACCCTTGCATTTACTTCTTTTACAACCCCCATCTATAAATACATTAAACAACCATGGTGACATTACACATCCCTGTCTAAGACCTACTTTTACCGGAAATAATCTCCCTCTCTTCTTCACACCCTAACCTGAGCCTCACTATCCTCATAAAAACTCTTTACAGCATTTAGTAACTTACCACCTATTCCATATACTTGCAACATCTGCCACATTGCTCCCCTATCCACTCTATCACATGATTTTTCTAAATCCATAAATGCAATAAAAACTTCCCTACCTTTATCTAAATACTGTTCACATATATGCTTCAATGTAAACACTTGATCTACACATCCCTTATCCACTCTAAAACCTTCTTGCTCATCCGCAATCCTACATTCTGTCTTACCTCTAATTCTTTCATTAATAACCCTACTGTACACTTTTCCTGGTTTACTCAGTAAGTTTGTTTCTCTACAATTTTTACAATCTCTTTTGTCCCCCTTCCCTTTATATAAAGGGACTATATATGCTCTCTGCCAATCCCTAGGTACCTTCCCCTCTTTCATACATTTATTAAACAAAAGTACCAACCACTCCAACACTATAACCCCCTGCTTTCGACATTTCTGTCATGATCCCATCAGTTCCAGCTGCTTTACCCCCTTTCATTCTACGTAATGCCTCACGCACCTCCCCCACGCTCACATCCTGTTCTTCTTCACTCCTAAAAGATGGTATACCTCCCTGCCCAGTGCATGAAATTACCGCCTCCCTTTCTTCGTCGAGATTTAAAAGCCCCTCAAAATATTCTCGCCATCTACCCAAAACCTCCATCTCCCCATCTGCTAACTCCCCTACTCTGGTTTTAACTGACAATATAAAGTTTTAAAAGGAGGTACAATATGGCCCATGAGACTAAGAGAGAGTGAAACCGAAGAGTGGCAAGGTAAGAGGCAGGTCCAGGATCTGAGAATGAACCATTATAACCACAAGGAGGTGAGCATATTCAGGCATCCACATACATACGTTAATTTGTTAATTTAAACCTTCTTAACCCTTTGACTGTCTCAATGTGAAATCCTAAAGTATCTCAGTGTCGCTAAATATTCCACAAAAAAAAAAAATAATGATTTGTTTTTTGAAATGATAGAGAACCTTTTCCCGATGGTAATGACACCAAAAGTACGAAATTTGATGGAAAATGTACGGAATTACGCTCTCATCGAAGATAGCAATCTTCGGGTTATTTACGCATTGGCGATTTCACCCACTTTGAGCCCCATTTTCAGACCCATTCTCTCACATGTGGGCTTACCAACCTTCTCCCACTTGAGTTGAAGCTGCTAAAATTTTGGCGTATTAATACATCAAAAGCACTGGCTTGTAAGACGTATATTATGACAGAAACAGTCAAGGGGTTAAATTTATATATTTGACTTTTTCTTTTTGGTTATTAAAATGAAAGACACAATTATTTTATTTTATTGTTAATACATTGGCTGTTTCCAACCAAAGCAGGGTGACCTGAAAAAGAAGAAACAATTCCATCTTCATCATTCACGCCATCATTGTCTTGCCAGAGGCATGCTTACGAAGGTTAAAAAATTGCAACATATAATCACCCCTCCTTTGGAGCACAGGCATTGTACGTCCCGCTTCCAAGACTTGAGTCCGGCTGACAGGTTTCCCTGAACCCTTTCATAATTGTTATTTTACTTACATTCCAACAGCACATCATCATCAAAATTGTTTCTCTCCACTCCTATCTAACACCCTCCCACCCGCTTGCTGAAACTCCAAACCCTCTTCATCTCCAAGCTACAAATTCTTTGAATTATATCCACAATGCACATTGCCCTCAGACACATTCTCCACTGCCTCCAGTGTTCTTGTTGTAACATTCACCACCCATGCTTCACATCCATATAAGAGCATTGGTACCACTATGCTCTCATTCATTCCTCTCTGCTTCCAAGGATAATGTTCTTTGTCTCCACACTCCTCAGTGCACCACTCATCTTTTTCCCCTCATCAGTTCTATGATCCACCTTGGCTTTCATAGACCAGTGTGCTGACAAGTCCACGCCCAAGTTTCTGAGTGCATTCGCTTCCTCCATATTTCCTCCAATCTGATATCCTGTATTTTTTGTTATTCTCATCACCTTGCTCTTTCCTATGTTCACTTTTAATTTCCTTCTTTTACATACCTTTCTAAACTCGTCCACCAACCTCTGCAGTTTCTCTTCTGAGTCTCCGAAAAGCAGTGTCATCAGCAAAAATCAACTGTGACAATTCCCACTTTGTGTTATTCTTTATCTTTTAATCCCATACTTCTTGTCTACACATGAGCATTCACTAATCTGACAACCTCGTCTATAAATATATCGAGCAATTATGGTGACATTACGCATCGCCATCTAAGGCCTACTTTTACTGGGAAATAATATCCCTCTCTCCATATTCTGACTTGAACCTCACTATGCTCATATAATCTCTTAACTGCTTTCAGTAACCTACGACACTGCCACACTGCTTTCCTATCCACCCTGTCGTATACCTTTTCTAAATCCGTATATGCAACAAAAACCTCTTTACCCTTATCTAAATACTGTTCACCTATATGCTTCACTCTTGTTGTACACACCCACTACCCTTCCTAAAGCCTCCTTGGTCATCTGCGATCCTGCTCTCCATCTTATTCTTAACCCTTTGACTGTTTCAGTCGTATATATACGTCTTATGAGCCACCGTTTTTGACGTATATATGCTCATAAATTCTAGCAGCTTCAAATCAAGCAGGAGAAAGCTGGTAGGCCCACATGTGAGAGAATGGATCTGTGTGGTCATTGTGCACCACATAAAAAAAATCCTGCAGCACGCAGTGCATAGTGAAAAAAAAAACTGACCTTTTTTTTTTTAATTAAAATACCGACTTTGTGGTCTATTTTCTTATAGTATTTATGGTTGTATTCTAGTTTTCTTGGTCTCTTTCGATAGAATGGAAAGCATATTATAGAAATAGAGGTGATTTTGATTGGTTTTACTATGAAAAGAACCTTGAAATGGAGCTCTAATGTAGGGGAAATGTTTAATTTTTGCTGATGTTCAAAAGGAAACAAACAATGTCATTTCCCAATAAATGTCCAAGTAGCCATTCTGATATGCAGTCATGAATGGGTTGACATTATTTATACAATTATTACAATATTGCAGTAGTCTGCATAACAGTAAATCTTCTATTTTTTGTTTGAATAAAAATTCAAAATAGAAAGCAAGAGTAATATCAGAGGGGCCTGAAGACATGACTGATGAACAAAGAAAATGTTATTTTAGAGCCAGGAATGTCTGCATTGTTCATTCTGGACCCTATTTTGAAATTGCCATATTTTTTAATTTTCGTGAAATTGGCCAAATTGCAAATTTCTGACCACATTATTGGGTAGTTGAAATCGGTAAATGGGCAGTTTCTTGTACTCAACTGATAGAAAAAAATTGAGTTCTAAAGAAATAACTATGAGTTTGGTCAACTGGAACAATGGAATTAGCAGAAAATAGGGCTCAAAGTGAGCGAAATCGCCGATTTGTAAATATGGGCAAGGATGCTAACTTCGCGAGTGTAATTCCGTCAGTTTTCCATTAAATTTCGTTCATTTGGTGTCATTACAATCTGGAAAAGATTCTCTATCATTTCATAAGAAAAAATAATTTTTTTTTCTTCTTCAGAAATTTGCGACACCAGGAGACGCCTCAGGATTTGGGGTTGCGACAGTCAAGGGGTTAATTCTTTCAATAAGATCTCTTCCATATACTTTACTAGGTATACTCAGCAGGCTTATTTCCCCATAATATTTAATTCTCTTTTGTCCTTTATATAAAGGAACTATGCATGCTCTCTCCCAATCTCTAAGTACCTTCTTCTCTTCCATACATTTATTAAATAAAAGCAACAACCATTCCGATGCTATATCCCCACCTGCTTTTGACCTTTCTGTTTTTATCCCATCAATCCCAGCCACTTTACTCCCTTTCAGTCCACCCACTGCCTCATGCACTTCCCCCACACTCACAACTTGCTCTTCCTCACTCGTACAAGATGTTATACCTCCCTGCCCAATGTACAAAATCACAGTTTCCTTATCATCATCAGCATTTAACAGTTCCTTAAAATATTCCCTCCATCTTCCCAATACCTCCAACTCTCCATCTAATAACTCTCCTATTTTTAACTGTCAAGTCCATTTGTTCCTTAGGCATTCTCAACTTATTAATCTCACTCCAAAACTTTTTCTTATTCTCAGCAGAATTTGTTGATAGCATCTAACCCACTCTCTCACTCAGAATTTTCTTTCAGGCTCGTCGGCTATTGCTGGGGAAATTCGTAATGCCAAAGGTATCAATGGAAGCAAATATATGGGAGAAAATGTCCCTGGAGGAAATGGCACTGGTGTTCACATTGGTGGCACCGGATCCATTAGTGGAGGCAGCAACCAGGTGAGATATCACCGCACTTCGTATAATAAGCGGAAGAAGTCTGCTCGACGAGATTCTGATGGTAGAAGTGAAACACGTGACACCCATCGGTGATTGGAGGAGGATGTTAAAATTCTTCCTGCAGATAGTGATGTTTACTAAGCACTCTGATGACCGGACAGAGTTGCATGATTTCCACCTGTGAATAATGGTGGACGGTCAGGTGACTGTGATGTTGGCCATGCTCCGAGAGGCGCAGGCTGAACCCTCTTCCGTGTGTCTGTGAATAAATTTGTGCAGCTCATTGCTCTGCCAAGGAGTGGAAGAAAATAAGACAAACAGTGGTGTTAAAGCAGCCCTCCATTCCCCAAATCATTGCGTGAGAAGTGCATTATGTGTGCGGACAGTATCTTGCGTAATGAGACTTGTGAGTGAATTGGATGTCTTCTTCCACAACCATAAGATTTTAGTAGACCAATATTCTTAGAGCTCACTTTTTAAGAGTTTTATTTATATTCTTTAAGCTCAACTTGGCTGTTTTGGTGGCTGATTCAAAAGCCATCCAAGTCATTTCAGATAAATGTTTTATATGAGTTTAACTTTGAGATTGTAGATTCAATCTCTGTGAGTCATTTTAAACTCTTGGAGTCAGATGACAAATCAGGGGAGTGTTGTTGGGTGGATGATAACTCTGGCCTATGCAAAAAAACAAAAAACAAAAAGAAAAAGAAAAATGGAAAAAAAAAAGTCTGAACTAGTAGTGAGGGGGTCAGGTTCCCAGTGTGTGTGTATGTATGTATGTATGCCTGGTTTCTATTTGAAGGTGTGTGCCTGTATTTGTGTATATGTGGGTGTGTGCATTTTTGTGTGTGTATATGAGTAAGAGAGTGAGTGAGTGAGTGTGTGAATGTGTATGTGAGTGTGTGAATGAATGATAGAGTGTATGCATGTTACTTGTGAAATTGTAATAACACGATTATAAACAACTCCCTGAATGGGGAGGATTTTACTCCTGGTAAGTGCTTGTGTGTGTGTGTTGAGTATATGTATGTATTGAGTATGATTGGGATGGGTGGGTAGGTTGAACATTTTAGGGTTGGTGGGGTTATGACCTATTTTTGTGAATCCCTGTTGGACCAAAAATCTTGTTGCTTAAAATAAAATAGTTATATTAATGGATATTGTTGTGCATCTTCATAGTTTGTTGTTTTCCAACTCATGACAATTGAGGCCTCTCACTGCCCACACAGT